CCGCATAAACACATTTCATTACACCAAATACACAAAATAATGTTCTTTTTAGCAACATCATATGACCCCTTTAAGAGTGCTCTCTATGGTTTTAGTCCACACCTGTTAATGTATAACAGCAGATCTGCATGTAAAGGGTCAGTGTCAGCATCAGCGTTGACCTTCTGACCCCACTCGCACACACTTTTTAGAGAAGAAGTGATGTTTTCGGAGATCTGGATGTCTGGCTGTGGATTAAAACAAGCTTTATTGTCCTAGTGGATTAATATAATGGCTGTTGTGTACATCATTAGGTCAAACAGCTATTATTACCTTTGGCTCTGTGAGAATGACCATACGGACAAGATGAACTCTTATATTGGCACCGAGAGTAACATCTCTAAGAAGCTCAGAGGCCTGCAAGAGTAGAAAAGATATTTAAACAACACAAAGTATCTTGGGTAGGCACTAACCCTATTCCATACATTGTACATGTCAAATTTATTTTACTTGAGTATGCATTTAAATCCAATGTCTTTTTTGTAACTGAAAATGTAGATTAAACACACACATATGATGTTGAGGTTGGTTAGGATGTATCTCTCAGTGTCTTGCCTATGAGCATCATAGACATCTGGACCCACCACCACTGCTAGCTCCAGATGTGTGACCTCTGACCCCAGAGGTGTCCTCCGTAACCTGAACTGACCTAAGGCAGATGCAGATCACACAGTTGACACAATATAATTATCGTTAGTTTTGTAGTTATTGTTTTTGGAGTGACTGGGCATTAATTACTTCAAAAATTGTGTACTACATTTTAGAAAGCTCTAAGTTTGATCAAAGCAGCACTTTGTATAGTCTATTTACTGAACTTGATACTGAACTTGATTCGGTTTGTAGGCACAATTGCAGCTATACTGATGTTAAGACAAACAGCTTTATTGCAAGCGTGATATTTCTTCTATTTAACAGTTCAATAAATAAATAGTAACTTTCATTATCGCTGGTTATGTTGTCTGTTTTAGCTCCGCTAGCACTGCAGAAACATTGCATGTTTCTGAGCAACAAACAGTTTAGTTCTTTGAAAGAATCAGTGTTTTGTTCAAATTGGTTAAGTGAATAATTCAATGACTTCCTCAGAAAGACTTGTTTTGTTCCTGAATCCATATTTTTGATTTAATCTGTTAAGTGAATGATTCAGATACTCACCCATAAAGACTTGCTCTGCATACAGATATGCCTACTATGTAGTAGACAAAAACCAGTATGTGAAATAAATAGTATGTCTGAATTAGTATTCATAAAACAGAAGGATTCCCAAGACAAAACGGATGACCTACTACTACCGCCGAGATTATGAAGTGTGCATCTGACACTTTAAGTTAGGTGACAATGAGAACATGGTGGATGTACAGTAGTATGTCCAAATTTCATTCACATTACACACATTTGTAGTATGTTGGCATACTTCTTGAATGGTCGTGAAGTAAATTCAAATGTATTCAAAAGTAATACCTATACAGGCAGTATGTGATTTTGGACACAGCTTTGTTTTGTTCCTGAATGAATCAATGTTTTGAACTAATTATTTGACTGAATGATTCAAAGGACTCACTTATTAGTCAATGTCGCCATCTACTGGCGTAACAATGTAAAATGCAGAAAGTGCTCTTATTTTACAGCTGATAATTTGTAACTTAACACTGCGTTTGGTGCTCCTAGTGTGAATGATACACACATTTGTAGTATGTTGGCATACTTCTTGAATGGTCGTGAAGTAAATTCAAATGTATTCAAAAGTAATACCTATACAGGCAGTATGTGATTTTGGACACAGCTTTGTTTTGTTCCTGAATGAATCAATGTTTTGAACTAATTATTTGACTGAATGATTCAAAGGACTCACTTATTAGTCGATGTCGCCATCTACTGGCGTAACAATGTAAAATGCAGAAAGTGCTCTTATTTTACAGCTGATAATTTGTAATTTAACACTGCATTTGGTGCTCCTAGTGTGAATGATGAAACATCCATCAATGATTCAGTTACTTTCAACTGTGACTCTGAAACAATCTGTTTTGTGTTATATAAATAAATCAAGCGCTATATAAATAAAGATTATTTGACTTGGCTTGAACAGCACTTTGAATAGATGGATATAGATGTTTTGCTGTGGACATCAGGCCAGTGATAGGCTTATGGTCAATTATATGGTACTGTATACTGTGTATATTTAACCAATGCAATGTTCACTCACTCTTAGGCTGTTTAAGATGTGTCCTCACTGGTAATGTGTGGGTTAATAGCAGGTGAGGTACACCAGAAGGTAAATCCATAGTAAGCTCCTTCAGATGGTCTATGTGTTTTTGAAGCACCGGCCTAATATTCAGCCTCTTCTCCCCTGACTGAATCAGACCTTGCTGAGGGACAAATACAGACTATGATTAGAAATTTGTCTCCATATAGTACTGTATACGGACAAACACAAAGCACAGCAAAAAGCATCTTCTTACTAATTTGCCATGGCAGATGGGGAGAAGAGTTCTCGTATGCGCTGGTCTCAGTAACTTCAGCTGCTCGCAGCACATATCCTCCCTTTTCTTCACCACGCTCACCGTTGAGTTGATCACCGTCTCCAGACTCGTGGGACAGGACATGGGTTGTTCATTTCTGTGTTGGCCCAGCTCAAAGCTCTCTCCATCACTCTGAAACGAGCACCTCCATAGCCCTCTGAAAGATTCATTCCCTGAGCAATTCACCCACACCAGCTCAAAGTGAGGCACTGAAGAGAACAAACTACTAATGTCAGGGTGTTTACATGTTTAGTTAAAACAAACTGACTTTTTCAAGTCTTTTAAAAGCTCTAATTTGTATTTATGAACCTATTTTGATTCCTCATTCGTGACTAGTATTTCTCAATATCCATGAATCAGACTCACCTGATTTAACGGAAATAGTATCAAAATAATAAAATAAATCTTGAGGTTTCAGAGACTCTAAAAAATCCTGGCAAGAAAAAAACAAAAATTAAATGACATTGAATTAATTAATACAAAGGTTATATTGCACATAAATACTATAAAGTTTCCATCACAAAAGGCAAATTTCAATTGATTTAATAAATTAACACTTCTGTTCAGTTTGAGGTCAGTAAAAGAAAGAAATTCATTAACTTATACTGAGCAAGAATGATCAATTGTTATTATTTTCTTCTTCTTCTTATTATTATTCTTTTGAACTTTCTAACAAACTAACCCAGCTCTCAAACTAACCCAGCTCTCTGTCCCTAGCTCTATCTGTCAATATAACAAATTCCTTGTATGTGCAAACATACTTGGCAATAAAGCTCTTTCTGATTCTGATTCTGATTCTGATTCTATTCATCAAAAATGTCTGAAAACATCTATATTACAGTTTCCACAAAAGAAATATTAAGCAGCTCATCTGTTTTCAACACTGCTAATAATAAGAAATGTTTCTTGAGCAGCAAATCAACATAGCTTTGACATCAGGAATAAATTACGTTTTAAAATATATTAAAATAGAAAACTGGTACAAACTCTTAACTCTTTTATATTTCAGCAAATTTGCAAATGATTTATTAATGATATTTGGTGGGTCAAGAAGTCTGAGACCATATTTAAAATCTGGGATTATGGAAAATCCGACTAATTTCTGTGAATCGGTTCTTTCAGTTCAATGAACTGGTTAAAAAATGATTCAGTGATTCTATTACATCATCACGACGCTAACAAAGCCATATATATATATATATATATATATGCACATATTGATGTTTACACCGGTTTTCTCTATTAATAAGGGTGTTAATTGTAATTTCCCAATCCCAGTTGAAAGAACGAATCCGCCCGTGAACGAATCGATTAATAAATCAATCAGTCAATCAAACCTTAAACATTCTCGTAAAAAATAGACTCTAACGGTTCGGACATTGCTCTCAAAATCACCTACATTTGGCAATAAACAGATGTTTACACATGTTTTTGCTTGCATTCTCGAATCGTGTTGGATAACAAGATCATGTTTTGCACAAACTGGATTTTATTCAGCTCTCACAGGCTGCTGTCATTAAAACAAAAGTGGCAACAAATGCTAAGGCATTATTTCGGAAATTCATGTTAATTTTCAGTAAGGGTACACTCAAATTGTTGTACTGATCATGTAAGTTGTAATTAAAAAAATGAAATTAGAGAAATGCAAATCAGAAACATGATCTAAAATGTTGATTCCTACTGTAAATCTACTTTACGTTTCTATATATAGCCTAGTTAGTAGTAGATTCTGCCATTCTATGCGACACGGGCCAGGGTTTTATTTTAGTAATGTCGCCTGAGCTTTTATTTTGACAAACGGCTTGTTTGTTGTCGCGGGCTTCGCGCTGCTGAATGAGGGAAGCGCGTGCGGTCAGTGGGCAGGTAAAAACACACAGCGTTGAGGGAGAGGAGAGGGTATGTCTGTGATGCCGAGAGGCTGAAACAAAGCCATTACCGTCGACATGTAAAAAGAGCCCATGTTTCTAACTGGACAATGATTAATTGTTTACCTCACTCGATTTCGACACATTAGCGGCAGATGAGCTGTGATCTGTTGACGGTTGTTCGTAGCATTAGCAGCGACGCGGCGTGGTGGAGACCAAACAGTTAGCCGAGACTGTTAGCATCTGCTTGTTTTTACTCCCGTCTAATCTGACTATCCAAAACTGACTGTAAATACATAAATAGGACGTAGTTATGTGTTTTCACTTGCGTTAAAACGATATAGCAATGATATCGCACGAGTCTGTGTCTTTGTTGCTATGGGCCGTTTCAAGGTACGTTACTGTTTGTTTTGAGTCCGTCACGAAGGTGGATATACATGACGGTTGCAGCGAATTCAAACCGTTACCGCGGTTATTTTTAGTCAGCGCTTAGCTGAGATCTTTCCGTGGCTCAAAACGCACCGAGCTCCCTACCTAGACAGCGTTTTTGGCCGAACCGCACGTTAGGAATGCCTAACTATGCGATCTAAATAGGCGACTCGGTTGGTTTTGAGACGCTGCCCTTAAAGGGATAGACCTAAAAATGCGATTTGTTACTCTAATATCGTTTCCAGAATTGATCACGTCTGTTGTTTTTTTTGTTGAACTGTCCCTTTAAGACCGATGTGCTGTTTATATGTTGTTGCAGGCGTGTTTTATTTTTTCAGGAGTGGGGTTTGGGTGGGCGTGTAATTGGACACCAGTCCCCAGACGATGTTTGCATGGCTATATTTAAGTGCTGGACAGATAGAGGGGTGATAGTTTTACATGAGAAGTACAGTGCTGAGTTAAACTAGCCACAGGCCCGCTGCACCTGTCACCAAACCCTTGTACACAAATGTCTTGGGAATATTTTTTTATAGTCTTGTATGCAAGTGTAATAATTAGTGAGGGTGGGGGGGGGGGGGGGGGGTGATAGTCTTACATGAGAAGTACAGTGCTGAGAGTTAAACTAGCTCCTGGCCTGCTGCACCTGTCACCAACCCCGCCGAATACAAATGTCTTGGGAATATTTTTTTTTATAGTATTGAGTGTGTGTAATAATTTGTTTCGGTGTCCTCTTCTCCTCCAGATTTTCTATTTTGTACATACATTATTTTGTATATACTGTTTATGATGACTTCAGTGGTCACTGATGCTGCCAAGGGCAATCGAGACAGAGCCCTACCACAAACCACACACACCTCACAGCCACAGAAACAAATACAGGTGAGCAGTACACGCACTCTTCATCAGTTAGGTGTGGCGTATGCACAGGCCTGAGGACCAACGTGTGTGTTCTGATTATGGAGGCATAACTGTCAACTGTCTCTAGGCCACAGCCGAACAGATCCGACTTGCCCAGATGATTTACGACAAAAACGATGCAGATTTTGAGGGCAAAGTTCAGCAGGTAAGCAACACCAAAATCTACAGAAGTCAGGAACATCATGGCCACAAGTTTGTTTTAACGGTTCATGACTAAATTCCAATACTGAGGACAAAATCTGATATCCAATGCTTAAGATGGAATCGTAGAATCCAGTCATAAAAATGGAATTTACCATATAACACGGAATGTCACAGAATTTGGCAAAATTTGGATGAATAAATCAAAAGTGGGGCTCTACATTTAATCAAATTGCAATATTTTACTTTAAATAGATATCCATTTTAAATATGTGACCCTGGACAACAAAACCAGTCGTAAGGGTCAATTTTTCGAAATTGATGTATGGTTTGTTAGGATAGGACAATATTTGGCTGAGATACAACTATTTGAAAATCTGGAATCTGAGGGTGCAAAAAAAATCTAAATACTGAGAAAATCGCCTTTAAAGTTGTCCAAATTAAGTTCTTAGCAATGCATATTACTAATCAAAAATTAAGTTTTGATATATTTACAGTAGGAAATTTACAAAATATCTTCATGGAACATTATCTTTACTTAATGTCCTAATGATTTTTGGCATAAAAGAAAAATCAATCATTTTCACCCATACAATGTATTTTTGGCTATTGCTACAAATATACCCCAACAACTTAAGACTGGTTTTGTGCTCCAGGGTCACATATGAAGTATGCATGTCTCTGTGTGAATGAGTATGTGTAGTAGACAAAACTAAAAGGTATATACATTCATTTGATTACCAACATTTTTTATAATAAATTTGTGTTAAATAATGAAAAAGAATCCAGATAAATTAAAAACAGACAACACAGAATTTCTGGAAAAAAAAAATCCATAAGGCACTTTTGTTGAATAAATTATTAAATTGTTAGTTTTATTAATTCAATTGATCAGATGTCCTTTTTGATTATTAAACTAATTAAACCATTAAAACAGAATCCAGAATTGCTGACTGCACAACAGCAGCTGTGATTAGTGTGGTCCAATTTGTGATTAAGTAACTCTTTTAAGCCTTTACGTTTCCTTTAATGAATCAGCAAAAATTATTTAAGAATCTGCCAGGACTCTTTGCCTTATTTTGAATCAATGTAATGAATCAGTCAGAGTGGTTCTTCATTCACAGCAGTTACTTTCACATTTCCAACTCAAACCTAATCAAGATTTGTTACTTTTTGTTTACTTAAGGTCCAGACAAATCAATATAATTTCTGTCTGGTAGATAAAAAAAAATTCAAGATCGGTCTTGAACTCTTACCTTTTAGTTTTGAATAAGTCTAATGACTCTCAATGAATCAGAGTGGTTCTTGATTCACTGAACTGCAGTTACTTTCACATGTTTGATTCAATGAATCAAGGTTTTTGTGTTGTATACTTCGCTCAAATGAATCAGTATTAATTTCTGGCTGATAGATGCACATTTAGACAGGGTTTTGTTGTAATAAATTGTAAACTTGTTTTAAATAAAATCTTCAAAATATGTTACAGAATAAATTATTTAATGTAAAATATAATAGTAATAATATAAAATATAATTTATATTTTTGTTGAGTTTGATTGCATTTGGTTGTGTTTGTCTCCTAGCTCATGGAGGTTACAGGCAAAAATCAGGATGAGTGTATGGTGGCCCTTCACGACTGCAATGGGGACGTCAACAGGGCTATCAACTTCCTGCTGGAGGAGGTCACTGTCAAGGTGCGTTCTTTGCTACAGCTGATCATGTTTTACTCGTTTCTGATTCAGTGTCTTTTGTAATTGCATTAATCATACCAGAAAAACTAGTCTGAGTTGAAATAATGTCATGGAGCTTTTCCAACTTTACTAGCCTGCCATACTAGTTACTAAGCTGCTATAGGTCTTTGATAATATTTGATATTAATAATAAAAATTGAGGTTAATAAACCCATGTTTCTGATTCTGTTTTGAATTTTTCTCAACGCTACTTTGATTGCACAGGACTCATGGGAGACAGTTGGCAAGAAGAAAAGTGTTGGAAAAGAAGGGACTGCTCCAGAGAGCAGGGAGAAGAGAGGAGAGAAGGAAGGCAGAGGCCGCGGAGGTCCAAACAGATGTGGCCGAGGCACCAGCCACAACCAGGAAGGTGTGTCTTTCTGTGTGCTTAGTGTGTACATGTCCTAACTTGCATGTATGGTTTGTGTTTTAAGGCAAGGTGTCTAATGAGACCGCATAATAATGTTGTCGCGGTGATTGGAGATCAGGTGTACAGGCATTCACTGTTCTTGGACTTTGGTTTTTAGGGCGGTCGGAAGAGAACGGGTTTGATTCAGCTCCAGGAGTGAGAGGAGGAGACCGTGGGCACAGAGGAAGAGGGAGAGGTAAGTGCATTATATGCACTCCAAGACATTACTGCTCACTAATACGCTGCTGCCCCCAGACGCGGTTTTTAAGTTGATTAGCTGCGAAAAATGAGCTGTCGATTATTCAGAAATATGTTGAAAACTAACACTACCATTCAAAAGATTGGGATTGGTAGGATTTTTTGTGTGTGTGTGTTTTTGATCAACAACTCATTTGTCCAAAAATACAGTAAAACAGTAAATATTGTGAAAAATTATTACAATTTAAAATAAAGTTTTCCAGGTTAAATGTATTTTAAAGTGAATTTTCAGCATCATTACTCCAGTCTTTAGAGTCACATGATCCTTCAGAAATCATCCTAATATGATTTGCTGCTCAAACTTTTCTTTACACATTTACACTGGTACAAAAAAATCAGGGCCCGTATTCACAAAACATCTTAAGCCTAAAAGTAGCTCATAACTCACCAATTTAGGAGAAAATCTTAAAAATAATGGGCGTGTCAGTCCTAAATTTAGGACTCCTACATTTAAAGAAACATGAAACATTTGATGATAATGAGCTTTTAAAAAGGTATCTGCTTTGGTTTGGAGGTTATCCCAATTTTTGATATAAAAATTAAAACATAAAACATTATTTTCCGCATACTGTACATTGTTTCTCCTCTATGCCCCGCCTTTCTGAAACGTGTCGATTTTTACAAAGCTCATCGGTCTGAAAAAGCGAGGTGTGCTCTGATTGGCCAGCTATCCAATCTGATTTATCAAGATTTATCCAATGCGTTGTGATTGGCCGAATGCCTCAAGCGTGTGACTGAAATGTTACGCCCCTTAGCATACGGTGATGCCGTCTCCCAGCAGGACGAGACAAAACCAATAAAACCCATTACAAACGAGGCATTTGTTGCATCCAGTGGGGACATAATTACTGATTATATTGACTTATACTGTCTTTTTACGCATTGCATTGCGTATCGCGCCGCGTAAACATAAAACCATGTCTGCATTTGTGATCGGAGAAACAACAAGCCTACTCTACACTGCTCAAAACTCGCATTTGAATAATCAGTGGAAAATTATTTAAATATAAAAAACGTACTTACAGGCTGTGAGTCAGATGTAGTAAGGACATCGGTAAAACAGTCCATGTGACATCAGTGGCTCAACTTCAGTTTTGTGAAGCTACGAGAATACTTTTTGAGCGCAAAGAAAACCAAAAATAACAATTTTTTCAGCAATTCTTCTCCCCCGAGTTACGTCGTCCGCCATTTTAGAGAGTATCACAACACATACGCACACTTTCCCCTAAGTGTAAACAACACTGATTACGCAGATTACGTTCATGTGCGCGCTTTCTCCCCCGAACGTAAACAACGCTGATTACGTCGATTACGCTCTTCGGTACTCTCCAAAATGGCGGAAGACGTAACTCGGGGGAGAAGAATTGTTAAATAAATTGCTATTTTTGTTTTCTTTGCGCTCAAAAAGTTTGATATATGAGAAACTTTTAACATCCATGGAAACTCTCCAGTGCACTAAATATTCTTTTTAGTGGAAAACTAAAGTTCTTCACAATAATAAAAAGTGTTTTTGTTTTTTAAGAACTGTTAATTGAAAGTTTCTTTGGTGAAATGGTTTTTCTATTGCATTTTGTTGGTTCTTCTTTGGAACCTTTATGCTTGATGCAAGTTCTGCTATCTCAGACTGGGCAGGATGGGGCCTGTTCCTGTGTTGCTATTTGTGTCACTCTGAGCAACGTTTGTAGGGCACTAAATGTGACGAATGCGTTGTTTAAAGCAGCTGCAACTCGAGAGGGGAAGATGGTGAGTGAGGGAGCAAGAATGGGGCAGGAAAGAGTCATCGGAAAGGCCTGTCTTCTGTCTCATGTCTCTTAAAGGGTTAGTTCACCCCAAAATGAAAATTCTGTCATTAATTACTCACCCTCATGTGGTTCCAAACCCGTAAGACCTTCATTCATCTTCTGAACACAAATTAAGATATTGTTGAAATGTGAGAGCTCTCAGACCCTGCATAGACAGCAACGCAACTGTAATGTTCCAGGTCCAGAAATGTAGTAAGGACATCGGTAAAACAGTCCATGTGACATCAGTGGCTCAACTTCAGTTTTGCTACGAGAATACTTTTTGAGCGCAAAGAAAACAAAAATAACCTTTTTTTTAAACAAAATTTATTTAACAATTCTTCTCTCTTGAGTTACGTCTTCCGCCATTTTGGAGAGTACCCAAGAGCGTAATCGACGTAATTAGCGTTGTTTACGTTCGGGGGAGAAAGCGCGCACATGAACGTAATCTGCGTAATCAGTGTTGTTTACACTTAGGGGAAAGCGTGCGTATACATTGTGATACTCTCTAAAATGGCAGAAGACGTAACTCGGGGGAGAAGAATTGTTGAAAAAATTATTTTTGTTTTCTTTGCACTCAAAGTATTCTCGTAGCTTCACAAAACTGAAGTTGAGCCACTGATGTCACATGGACTGTTTTACCGATGTCCTTACTACGTTTCTGGACCTGGGAACATTACAGTTGCGTTGCTGTCTATGGGAGGGTCTGAGAGCTCTCACATTTCATCAAAAATATCTTAATTTGTGTTCCGAAGATGAACGAAGGTCTTACGGGTTTGGAACGACATGAGGGCGAGTAATTTTTGGGTGAACTATCCCTTTAAAGAGGACCGATTACTTCCAGTTTTTAAATGAAAGTTCAGTCTATTATATCTACATTTCATTTCATGTGCAAGAAGATTAGCTAATCATAGCGCTGTGCGATAAAACGATAATGATAATTATCGTGATATAATTTTCCTTGATAAAAAGATAAGATCCAGTGTGAAGCGCTTGAATTCAGCGAAGAACACAAATGAGTCTGTGATTTAAACTAGTTTAAAGACAAATGAAACGGTGCTGACAAACAGCAGAAACACTGTGCGTTACAATACAGTCAGAAGACTTTAAATTTACAAATCGCCATCATTTAACATGAGTTTACTGTAGTAACTAGGGATGTAACGATTAACCGCGAGCCGGTTGAAAATCGATTCAAATATGTGACGATTCAAATCGGTTGAGATGCTAAACAAATCGCGATTCAATTAGGGGTAGGAGTTTATATGAATGTACAGTCAGAGAGTGAATCTGCATCTCATTCAGCTCGTCTGCTGTTTCTGTTTCATGCAGATATTTTTATGTATAGTTTCACAAAACTGAAGTCAAAACATTCTGCTTTTGCTTCAAATTTAGAAATTATACAATGTAATTTAGATAAAAAAAATTCCAATTTTTACCAATTTCGGTTCCAAAGCAAAATACAAAAACATGCTAATTAAAAAATGTTACTATACTTTCATTTAATCCAAACTGTGTACATATTTAATTTTAAAGGGGTTTTGAAAACCTACAGTTATTCAGCCAAGAATAACAACTAAGTTAGCTTAAAAAAAAAAAAAAGCCCAGAACTGCTTTTCTGACTGATATGACACACACAATGTTAACCATCTGTACATTCTCTAACACGCATATTTTAGATTCACAATTAATTTAAAAGCCTCTGGTGTGTAAAAAATAGTAAATA